TAATTTCATTCTTTTTCTAAACTAAAATAAAAATATAATTTATTTTAAATAACACAATTAAACTTCTTTATAATTATTATTCTTGGAAAAGCAAAATTTGATAACTATAAAGAAAATGTGACTATAAAGATGTTTTTTTACTATATTTATATGTAATGGGAAAATAAAACAAGGTGACTATAGAGAGATTTGAATGTATAATCTAAAATTTATAATTTCTATTTATAAATGCTCAAAATATTTGATTTATTTTTAAAATTGCTTATTTTTAACTTATAAACAACTATATTTTTTTATAATTGTTAAAAAAGTAAAAATAACTATTATATAATATATAATTAAAGCTAATATTAAACAACTTTTTTTTAAATATTTTAATGTTTGATAAAAATATATTTAGATATAAATTTTAGTAGACAAATTTGTTTGCTAAACCAGACAGTAATAAACCAGTTTATAAAAAATTACCTGGAAGACTTGTTTGGTTTGTAAAATAATCTTTAAAGTTATAAAGTTAAAGTGAAGTTATTTTAACTCACCACAACATGAACACATGTTACCTATATTTAGTTATAATTTTTAGTCTCTTCCATCATAAAAACTTAGTTTCTCCCACCTTTAATTAATAAAAACACGTGAATAACTCGTAAATAACTTGAAATCCATAAAAACAGTAATAGTATGAAACTGTATATAATATATATCGATATTTTACAATGGTATTATATTTAGGGATATATTATATAGAGAATTTATATAGTGTCTACATAATCATGGGGACATTATTATTGGGGGATACTATATACAGTGCTATAATTAGTAAAGTTAAAATTGGAAATTAAAAAAAAATGGTATTAATTATAATATATTTAGTCAAAAACTTGCTCTATACGTGTATTATCAAAACATACATATACTATATATAAATGTGTGTAAATTTAACAAAAAAAATCCTGATTACTTTTGTCGTCAACTGTATAAACGTATAAGTGAAAATATAAAATATTGTTCTGTGATATTAGACATAGAACTTCAAAAATTACAAGAAACACTTCACGCAAACTACATGTATATCGGTATGATTATCCCCCGACTTTACATTTTTCTACAATAAGTGGGGGAAAGGTTACACCCGTGTATTAATCAATAATGATAGCGATAGGGGTACATGTACTTTAAACCTTAATATGGAGGTAAGATATATGTTCGGTGTGAAATTTACGTCAAAAAGTACGAGAAATTTATAATTTCTACCAACGCCAAGTTAATTTAAAACGCAACCTTCGAAATTTCACACCAATAAATGATACACAAGACTTTCCAAAATAGATGATGTTAATGTGTCATTGTTTTCGCAAATAATAATGCGGAGAAAAATTACGCAAATAACCCTGGTTTTACATCTGAAACCATACATGCATAAATACGTACTTGCACGTTGACCTTTTTCTGTTATGCGAAAAAACGAGAAAGTTTTTGAATTCGGTTGCTAAAATAATTTCGATGTTTGATGCAGAAATGATCCAAAAGAAACAATAACAATTTTAATCCCAAGAGATGAAAAATCCGGATAGAAATATTCGAACCTTATTTTTTGCAATGTTACTTTTAAATGTTTTTACGGCCGGTCCGTTAACAAAATTGTAAGTGAATAATTTGTGATTTTTCCTAATGTCTTAAAGACACATTGTTTATTCGAGAATGTCATTAGATTTTTAATTGCAGTTGCGGATGCATCCACAAAAACATTAGAAAGTATATCTACGGATATCAGGTAAACTCGCTACTGTGTTTACCATTACTCCATAAATAGTGAAAATCTAATGCTAATACTTATGAACCAAATGCAGCGCTGCTTCTACAGAAATACCGACAACGATAGAAATTAATACATCATCAACAGAAACGATAGATACGGAAACAAAACTACCAGCAATGAACGATCATTCTCGAACAAATAGAATCGAAAGTATAATTTCTTCAATTTCGCATACACCATCACCATCACCTACAATTATAGTAATTACACAAACAAAGACTTTTACTGTAACTGTAAATACAATATCACGTTCAAAATCTTCAATATCATTATTATCATCATCATCATCAACAATAAGAAAATCAACAACAGTATTAATATCAAAATCATCATTATCAAAATCTACTACTCCCACAGCCATTAATATCAACACATTTGCATCAAGTCCCGGTGAATTTCCTCGTTATTTAATTACAAAAGCATCAACAACATCTAAAAGCCCTGCGAAGACTTCTTTAGCAAGTAAAAGTAGAAATGATGACATTCTTAAACTACATTGGATATTCTTTACATTTATAACTGGTGTCTTCTTAATTTAATCTTGGTTCAATATACATTTTTTTATTATTTATTTATTAGATTCTAATGGAATTCAGCTAATTTTTGTGTTTTTGCTTGAAAATTATAATATTCAAATATTCAATAATTGATGATATGTCTCTTATATATATGTCCATCTAAATGAGAAATTTCATAAAGATGTATCCAGATTAATGAACAAATATTTCGCTGTGCTTTCTTTATCCCGATTCATTTCAAGTGGCTCAGGATCTTTCAGAAAATCATCAACCATTTGCTGAAGACCAGTCAGCTGAAGACTCGGAATATTTGTTTGCGAAATATATTTATAGTTATCAGAGATCACTATCATCGCTTTTGAAGGCCTCGGAAACGGAGGAATAAACATTCTGTCGAACTCTATCTTCTTCGCGCTGTATAAGTGCTCAAACATGAGTTTATAAATTTCCTCGAGACTTCGGAGATAATTTGCATATCGAGAATGAAGTCTATCTCTTGTCTACAGGGAAAGCTTGGAAAAACGCCTCGTCTTTACATGAGCTAAGAAATCGTCGATGATCAGTTTTGATGATTCTCGATAAATCGATTCTGACAAATATTCATCGGCGAAGACGAGTGAAGTAAGTGGTCTGTGTTGGAAATTCTCTTCAATAAATTTGAAACACCATTTCGTGACTGTTGGAATAAAGTATTTGTCAGCTAGTCTCAAAAGAATTCCTACATTTTCCCAACTGATCTGAAAGTAGATATGCGGATAAAGAAATGACAAGAGAATCGCGAAATCGTCAGCAGATTCATTAGGGAGAGGAATTTGAAGACAATTTATTTGTTGTTCTTGTTGAATGGCGAAGTTTTCAGCATATTCATCGGAGAGGGGACTTTGAGGATGATTTATTTGTTGTTGTTTTTCTGACTGGTCATTTGAAATAGCAAACAAGGGATTGAAAACTTGTGAAGATAGGGTTTGTGAATCCGAAATAAAGTATTATCAATTATAATTTCAATATCTCCATCTTCATAATAATGAATTTGGTGGTTTTGGTTTTGTGCCATTTTGAAAAGAAGAGAAAAACTTCTGTGTTGTTTATACCTAATCGTTAATTAATTTATTTATTTGAATCACATGGTTTTATGCAAAAATACATTAGCATTATCGTTACCGTTACGTAATACTAATTACATAATCAATTCAAAGCACCACCTTGATAAATCAGGTTCTTTTAATTATTGTTACTTGACGTGTCATTTCTACCGTACCAATAATATATAATAAGTTTGAAGCTACTTTCACAGAAATAGAAACACTATCGAAATTAGAGGTGCAGACATTTGAAAATAAGTGATAAAATGTCTTGAAAAATCAGAATCCTTTAAAATGTAGAATTTGTGATGATCCCAGGACTGAAGCAGTCCCAGGAAAATTGCTGATTTTGGAGATAATTTTATTCTATAGACTATTAATAAAATTTATTGATAAAAATATTTTAAGGAGGGTTACTTATTGTAATTAAAACAATTTGATTTGTCTAGAATTAGTAAGTTTCAAAATTATTGGGATCATTTTGGGGCTGGTTAACATCCTAAATTATCGTATTTACACAAACAAGGAATCAAACAAGGAATTTCAAGATTATAAAAATCAACAACAATGTCATATTAATCGTAAAGTCATTACTAATAAATCATCCAGTCAGGCCTTTCGTCTGGCAATACTGGAATTGTAACAAATCTAGGAAAGTAATAAAGATAAAATCTATCGCTATGTTTGGGACAGGGATATATGACAAGTTTGGATGTGACAAAATTGGTATTTGACTTGTACATATATTTGCAATAAGTTTTGGATTTTCTAGTTCTTTAAATAAAATAACATCTAAAAAGCCCTTCTTTAGTAAGTAAAAGTAATGATGGCATTCTTAAACTAAATTGAATATTCTTTACATTTAGAATTGGTGTCTTTTTAACTTAATAAACTTAATTCAATAAACTTTTATATACAGTATATAAAATCTGTCTATCTGAAATGAGAAAATACTAATTTCAATTAAATATTATGAATTCATACTAACGAACAAATATTTTGCTGCGCTTTCTTCATTCCGATCCATTTCAAGTGGTTTAAAATCTTACAACTATTTGACTCGGAATATTTTGTTTTGGCGAAATATATTTATAGTTATCGAATACCAGTGTTGGCAAATGACATATCATTAATGTCATTTTCAACTTAAAATTATAAAGAGTGGAAGAAATGATAATGGTAATGATACTGATACTGATGAAAAGAAAGGATAAGAGAGAATGGTTTTGTATTTTCATCACTGTAATCATATAAAATTCTTGCACTATGATAATTCAAACTAATACAACATTATCATAGTGCTGGTCTGAAATGCTAACCAATCAAATTCTGATTCTGTAATAAATCACATGTTTTATGTCATGTGCCAACACTGACAGAGGCTCGAATAAACAATTCGTATTCTTCGTGGCAGATAGACGCTCATATATGAGCTTAATAATTTCTTCGATAATTTGTATTGAGAATAAAGTTTCTTTCTTATCTCCAAGGAAAACTTAGAAAAATGCGTAACTCAAGAATTTATTGATGCTCAGTTTTGATAATTTGACTTTAACTGGAATGTATCGGCAAAATATATGGTCTAAAGAATTTTCATAATCGATCTGAAAGTAGGTACGTATGCGGATAGACGATTATATGATTTGTGCTTGGTTCTTTGATCACATGAGCATGTGCCACCAATCAAATGGCGCTTCTAGTGTCCTAACAAAAACGTGATTATAATATTAAACTGATTGAGCACATGATAAATAATCATGTGATCAGAAACCGGACACAGATCAGGGACATAAAAATTATTTTTTGGTTTGTTAAAAAATTGTGTTTTGTTCCGATATTAATTTTATTGGCTAAAAAGTTAAATACGTGACTTTGTTCACATAACTTTATCGTTATCTCGAAATAGGTAAACCTTTGAGCATATACATATATTTATATATACATCGATATTACTAAAAATTCCGTTTATACCGATCTAAAGATATATGAATTTTTCCATGTCTCTGGCACAGATTATATTTTCGCGAAGACGTTCTATTTGTTGTAGCGTGAGAAAAATTTCAGAATATTTATTTGTTTAAACCGAAATAAAGTACATGTATAATCAGTTATAATTTCAAGGAATTTCCACTTGATCCTATGCAAAATACAGTATGCTAAAGCAAGAGATTACTAAAAAGGAACTGTCTCAGGGCACTTCAAATGTCATGACTTCATCATATGATAATAATGACATAGTATAAATCGATGCATGAAACGAAATTGGTTCCGGGAACAGCTATGGTAAAACCGCTTTGATAACTCAAAAATCTATACGTTGTTACCCAGTAGAATTCGCTGGCGGTGATCGGAAGGATTGTACAGTCGATAATGTACATGTATTGCCGATTTAATTAATAACGTCGATTACTATCCGATCTCAATCGATTCTTTAGACGTCGCTAGTTTCACCGATATATCACATTGACTCTCAGTTATAAGCAATACCCCTCAAAAAGTGCTACTTATAACCAGCAAAATATTTCCCTGTAAAATTTTCCTTTAAATATTTCTCTCAGTTGGTGCATGAAATAAAGAAATTTCGTAAATACAGTCAACTATCGTTAAACCGACCATATTTTTCTTGACTAACGAGAGTTGACTATGTATCTTTAAATAAATAAATATAATATAGGTTAACAGTCACATATTTCATATATTTAATTAAAATACTTAGTTAACTCCCATTAAATCGAAGTAAAATATAGTCGGTTTAACGAGAGTTGAATGTAAACTGATTTAATTACAAAAATGATATTCTAAAAATGAATTGAACAGAATTTAAATTATATAATTTACTCTAATGTAACTAACTTTCACTTACACTATATTTAAAGATCCCTTTGTTTGATATAAAAGCTAAAATTGCATGAAAAACACTGTCAAATTAAAATTTATATTAATTCGTGATCTATAATTAATTTTGGTGATAAACCATTATAATTCTTTTTCCATTCCGGAATATATGAAATGAAATTTTACCGGTGTGTAGATATTCCTCTTATATAGGCATCTTTTCCTTTTACAAGCTGAAAATATTTACTTAGTACTATTAAATTCAATTCGGGTTCGATATTGTTTTTATTATTAATCTAGATTCGAATATACTAAATCCAAAAATTAATAGTGATAGTAAACTTATATATTTTCACTGGTTCTTATACGGATCACGAATTAAGCTTTAATAATTTAAGTTTATATGGTATCCATGCCAAGCATGCGTACACTTAAAACACGGTATAACGGACACTAAGTATAACGGATTGAGGTCTAAAACGAGTTTATTATATCGAGTTTTAATGGCAACTCCATAACAACGATTTACATTTATTAACGTTAATTGGCGATATACCGATACGTATCAGGTTATTTGCGTGCATAAACTTTTACTCACGATAAATACACAATAAAACATTTTTGTCTGTGAAACCATTTACATTTGTTGAATACGTAAGTATATCCTAATCTTTCGGCAATTAAAAAATTAAAGTTATTTTTTTTTGAATAATATCAATTATTGTAATTTCGCCCAATAATCAAAAGGTGAAAGTGGTATAGATTCCCAATCAAGCATCCCACTATTTACAAAGGGCAATCCTTGGAAATATATATCAGCTTCTTGGACATCTTTAGCAACCACGTTTATCGTAACAATTAGGGGACGTTGCATCACATATAATTCTTTGAATATCCCCGCCTGCGTATGGAAAAAAAGAAAAAATATATTAGAATGTTTTATTTGAATAATATGTATGTATACTTGTATACTTTTATACCTTGTAATATCGGAAAGTTTGTATCGCCTGCTTAACAACATTATTTCGATATTTTTCATGAGTGAAATTGGAATTAAAAGTAAAAAGACTCCAAATATACTGTAGTTCACTTTCATTGGTGATTTTTTCAACTGGTATATTTAGTTGTTGCTTTATTTCTTCATCGTTTGATTGAAAGAATTTTTCCCAACTTCTGTATGGGCCTAGTGCTATAAAATCGTATGTGCAATAAGCATTCTTTTCATAGAACGAAATAAGATAAATTGTTAATTGGTTTAATTAATGTTAGCATAAAAATAAAGGAGTTTTTATCGTCGCGTATTTATTTGTACGCATCAATAGAATCGCACTTACAATTGACAATGAAAGATGCGCGGTATTTGCCTTTGCTTCATTCAAACTATCTGCTTCTATAATATAAAGTGCACCTTTATCATCTGAAAATTTATATGCTTCTCTTATAAATCCAGAGAGATATAATGACCATAATTCACCGATATGGGCTCTAAATACATCATCTGGAATTTCGTTTGCGGTGACCTCAAATCTTTCAATAATAGAAATTTTCATTTTAAGTTTTTTTTTTTAAAAGTTCTAAACTTAAAATAGTAGAGGAAGCAAACAATTTAACAAAAAAAGACGACCGAGTATAATAAGTTTAGAATAAGAGGAAAAAGAGACCAAAGACTTATACGTACGTATAAATTTCTTTCACGAAATTCGAATAAAAAGAATTTGTAACACAAAATCTGGCGGTATTACATGATACCAATACATGTACATATTGTTATCATTATGTAGTGTTTCCGAATTAAATTATATTTAGAATGTACTATGATAACCCATCTTTTTTTCATTGGCTAATTAATGCATACAAAATTCCAAATATAGAGAACGGTTAATGCGTGATATAACTTAAAAATATTAAAAGGTAATTTCAACGTTAGGGTTAGGGTTGGGAAGGAGATCAAAGTTATATTTAAAATTGCCTTCCCGACATTTTTAATTAGTGCTCCAAGAAAGATTTAAGCACCTGTTTTCAGTATTTT